TGTTGGTTTCAGTTTTTCTTCGGTCAGGATGATATGTTTGGTTTAAGTAATGTTGGATCGTTCTCCACGCTTTGCTTTATAAGCATGAACTTTCAATTGTTTGCAACAATCCCAGCATTTCAATCAGCACGGTATTCATCAGAATATGTATTAACCTCTTACTTCGGTCTACCTTATTGTCACTTTCCTTGGCTCAAGGCTTGGCCGTGCTCACCCGCTAATTAAAAAAGGAGGAATCAATTATTTTGGCGATGTATGGTTGGAGATGATTATTGAAAGTTTTGAAGTGTGCTTAAAAACTCATTAACACATTTCGGGCCGCGCACTTTTTACGTGACATTCGCGTGTGTCTGATATTGATGCTCAACGCCGCTCACAGTGGTATCCAGTTACCATTAGTTTTTAGTTAGAAACTAGTTTCAGAACGGGATTCTGGTTTTTTTTCTTACATCTAAAGTGTGCAGATCACATAGGTTTTAACTACAAAAAACGATTCGTCAAAAAACCGAATTCTTAAAAAAAAGGTCAGCTCTTGAAGTCCCTGACACATCATGGAGCCGCGGGATCAAACTGTGCCTAACACTACATGGCTCTCAAACCGCTCGGAGTGTGCTATATGTTGGTCGGATGAATAAATAGAAGGCTAGTAAGGTAGCCATCCACGGAATTTCAGTTTTTGTAAACTTCAAGAACCATGCCATGTCGTGGGCTCGTCTTTTCCAGTTTCTGCTTTCTGCTTTCCCTAGAGCTTCCACCTGAGTTCTGTGTCTTAGACCATTGACAGTAGTGTGGTTGTGGAAAACTACAGTCAAGTTTTACACTTCCGATAGCACAAAATCTTTGTAGTCAGAAGTCACGAGGTAATCAAAGGGCTCAAGGATTTACTTTACGCGTAAAACCATATAGTTGTGTGAATCCTGGATTTATACCGTGTCCCATTTCCATCATATTTAGCAAAACTTCTCGAAAATTGCCGTGCTGTGCTGCATAGCTCAAATTCGATAGGTCTAGTGAAAGGTTCTGTCCACAGCTGTTGTCTTTTTATCAGAAGCATTAAACACAATTACAAATCCTATAATTTTTAGTTGAGCTAGTAAGTTGGTGCACAAGTGTCGCGACACATGATGCTTTTTTAGAACTTTACTATTCTATCATTCATAGATATTATTGATATTGCAGTCACCGAAGTAGGCGAGCATAGGTGATAGAAAGCAGAGGCGAAAATTCATACAATAATGTCCATGAATGAAATAATAATCTCCGAAATCACACATGTGTCGCAAAACCTATACGCCATCCTAACACATAGAACACGATATTGACTATAAAGAATAGTTTTTTTAAAAAATTGTTAAAAAGCCCATGAGGCAATATGACTTCGTTTTTACTTTTGCCTTTACACCCTACAATTCTAAGACTTCTAGTCATTCGCGGCGACTTGTTAGTATACATTAGTATTAGTAAACGAACAAACGAGCTCTGCAGTACACCACTCTATAAAGGCTGAAAGATAAAAATTACATTCTAGGCTTTCTGGACCGTGAATGCGTCGCCCATGGATCCATCAAAACAGGCGTTCCTGATACAGCAGTCCTTAAATAAGGTGAGGCATCTGTCTATAAATGTCGGAATGAAAAGGAAGAAAGGTTCTCTCAAGAGGACGGGCGATAACTTGAAAAACATCGCACAATTTATTTATTTTAATTCGAAAGGTTAAACGTATCTTATTTCTAAGCTTGTCTGCAATAACTGTTCCAACCTATAACTATAAGTTTCAGTTAGTGGGCGCCACTGGAGAACAGCTGGCGCCGGGCGCTGTTCCGCAACAACCCGTTCTCGCCGCGGGGTTGGCGCCGTCTGCCCATGGACTGACTTCTTTACAAAGTCATCAATTGAATAGTATGGTGGCTGCTATTCAAAAGGTATGATTGGCAGTTAAACTTCTTCAAATATTTTTTCTTACTCACAAATCCTTAATTTGATGGTTTCTGCACGAGCGAAATAATTCTCTAAATTCCAAGGTAATGTTAGGTAGGGTTAGCAGTGTAAGAAGGGATTTGAGGGAGCTTAATTTTGTACAACATGGGTATGAAGTTTGGTTGAAGTTTTTGAAGTTTTGTACGGTAGGCTTATGGAAGGTTACTTTCTGGCAATAAGCTCTTTGTTTCAACCACACCCTTAGAATGGCAGAAAAAGAATTGAATTGATTTATCTTGTATACGACCTTTCTTCTGACAGACTAAAGGTTTGCTTACGTTTAGCAGGCTGCTCAGAATGCATCATTTCTGCAGAATGTGCCGTCTACTTCCATGCAAGGACCATCTCATCTTGCACCTCTAGATGTTGCCGGTGAGTTTGGCGTAGTTTGAGCATGCCTCGCCGCATCGTGCGGCATTGAGCTCCGTAGCGCAGTGACTGTGCGGGCGGTAGTATCAGAGCGGTCGCGGGTACGATCCCAGCCTGCGCCCATCCTCTCCAGTAGTGTTGTGTGGGTTGATCTATTCACACAATTTGGAAGGGAGAAGGTAGATTGAATGCACTATCATAGTCCACATCGTTGTTCACAAGCGATATGGCTTCCGCCAAGTGTACATTTAAGGAAGAATTTGTATGATTTCTCTTTTTGCGTGACGTGCGGAATGTAGCTTCCCAGTTAGATCATGCTTCAAAAATTAAAAAAAGGAATCTTGTACAAAAAATATGGAACGATCGTCGAAAAAGAGAGTTTCGGTAGTTCATTTCAGACGGCGGACCCTTCAAATAGCTATACAGGCTACTCTTTTGTTTAGCCATCACCGAGAAGGCACATCGGCTGTATCAAGCTGGAGATTACGCTAGTGCTGAACGCCACTGCCTCATGATATATCAACAGGATCGCACTAATGTCAGCGTACTTTTGCTGCTCTCTTCGATTCATTTCCAACTCAAGAATCTTGAAAAGTGAGTACGCATTTGTTTCCTCATGACAGATAGAGAAGAAGTCGCTTGAAAATTTGAAAAAGAGAAAGCCTAGTGTAGTTCTTGGGGTAGAGCAGATAAGAGTTCAGGAATGGGTGAGTGTCCTAGTGACTGCTATAACAGGAATAGAGGTATTACTAATCGGCATAATAATGATCAGTAGTAATCAATCTTTTGGAGCGTGACACGAACTGGACTTCCATTCGTGTAACTGGTGTATATCGAATAGTTATACATGTTCAATGCCTTCAAGTCAGGCAGTAGTCACATCGAAGTGTTCATTCCTCCCAGGCAAGCTTGATGTTAACTAACCAACACCAATAGTTTCAAATGTCTGCTTGGCAAGGGTGCCACTGATGAGGAAGCGAGTCAGCGGCTCAAACTATTGCCTGTCTCCACCCAATCTCAGTGGTGGAAAGATGAGTCTATGTGTGTGAGGTGCACGAGTCCCATTTCCAATGCAACATCAGAATGCAACATTCCGGTAAATGCTTAGCTCTGAGTCTGGAAGCCTCAGGTTACATTTCCGCAACAATGGCTACATTACCATCGTACCCTTTATTCCTCTTAGTAAATGGTCTGGTGCCAATTCAACTGCAAGGAACTGGCAGAGGACAAATGGGGTTGCCTCAACGTCGGTGGGTCCTGAGTATCTGCTCTTGTGAAACCAGGTTCCATAACCAGTATCTTGGGACTCCACATGGGAAGCTGAATGTCGTGCGCAGCGCGCAAATTCGAATTTGTCCACTTTTGTTCTGGCGTTATTTTGAAAGTAGGGGAGTCGCAAGTTGTTTCGCTCGAGCGTGAACGATCGAAGCATTCGGTTTATTCTATTTTTATTTCTGAAGAAACTACGGGTCACTACTTGGGGTTGATCATGACTGCAGGTGAGTGGGTTTTCAGCACAAAAGATTTTGCGTTCATGTTTGGCCTGTATTGCAAATTGCAGAATAGGCCTATGCGCAAGTCGCTGCCTCTCGTGTAAATCTGGTACTGCACACAATACCTCGGGGTATTGAAAGCTTGGTTGCCCAGGAAGGGATTCGGTGCTAAGTTTTGTCCCGGTACAAAGCTCAGAACTCCCGTAATGGCCCCACTCGCTACTTTGCCGTCTTTGAAACATTGGGTTCATAAATTCATAGATTGCCTGTATGTTAAGTTCGGGTTGATCGGGGCTTCCAAACATTATTTTTTTAGATCACTTTTCATATCTTTCTACTTTTACATCAATATCATTTAGGTCCAAACAGTTCTCGACAATGGCCATTCAAGCTAACAGTCAGTGCGCCGAAGCTTACAGTAATCTTGGGAATGTTTTCAAGGAACGAGGAGAGCTAGCGGAAGCTCTCGAAAACTATAAATATGCTGTCAGACTAAAGGTAATTTCAGAAGTGGTTTCATCCTGTGTCATATCTATGTCCTTGTGAACAAGAAACAAGAAATTATTATCTACATCTGATTTTACCGAGTTGTATGTGATTTATTCTAGCCTGATTTTATCGATGGGTACATTAACTTGGCCGCTGCTCTGGTTGCAGGGGGCGATTTGGATCAGGCTGTTGCAGCTTATCTTAGTGCACTCAATTACAACCCGGTCAGTTTTCATTTATAATTCCTCCTTTGGTCAGCTCAAAACACTATTTCAGGAGCTGTACTGTGTACGTAGTGATTTGGGAAATTTGCTGAAAGCAATGGGTCGATTAGAAGACGCGAAGGTAAGGAGATTTATTGTTTCTTTGAAAACCGTGGTGTGTTGATACTATGCCATTATTTATTTTCTCTTTACGCATTTGGTATTGCAGTTTACCTACTTCAGATATGCTATTTGAAAGCAATCGAGACGCAACCACAATTTGCTGTGGCTTGGTCTAATCTCGGTTGTGTGTTCAATGCTCAGGGTGAAATCTGGTTGGCAATCCATCATTTTGAAAAGGTCGGTCTTATCTTTATGAAAGAGCGAATCTGGGAGGAGACCCATTTCTGGGTATCTGTAAAAACCAAATCAATGATCAGCGATTAACAACGAGTTTGAGAAGTGATGCTTTGTCGATATCTGGGTAGAAAAGCAGAGGGCTCAATCTGGAGAGATCCATTATTGAGCGTAAAGATTTTCTAAATGATGAAAAAGTGGGAACCATGCATTAACAAACAAATGTGCCTCAACGTTAAATCCTCCTGCCACCCCACCGTGAACCTCTTGCAGTGTTTGTATATAATCTGTGACCAGAAAGAGAAAATGCTTGGGCATCTAACACACCTTTGAGCGTGAGCGCCGATGGCTTCGGAAAAAAATTGCTTAGGGGGTGCTAAAAACCTTTTTGGTCGGTCATGCTTGGTAGAAATTGCTTAGTTGATGCTTGAATGATATAAGATCTTTCCAGAGATTTAAGCAGATTATCTCTGACCAATGATAACTTATGCTTTTAGGCTGTTCAACTTGACCCCAACTTTTTGGATGCATACATTAATCTTGGAAACGTTCTTAAAGAAGCACGAATTTTCGACAGGTAGAGTTAAAGGTTGTTCTTGAGGTTTTGGTGGACTCTCATCGCTTATTATTTCCACTTACAACAGGGCTGTCGCAGCGTATCTTCGCGCTCTTAACTTGGCCTCAAATCATGCAGTCGTTCATGGGAATCTTGCCTGCGTCTACTACGAACAAGGGTAAGTTCGTTTTTTTCATTGCACAAGTTGCTGCCATTTCTTATGCGGAGCTTTCGCGGTTTCCTTTACAGATTGATTGACCTGGCGATTGATACTTATCGTCGCGCTATCGAGCTGCAGCCGAATTTCCCGGATGCCTATTGTAACCTGGCGAACGCATTAAAAGAAAAGGGACTTGTTCAAGAGGCGGAGAATGCTTATATGACAGCATTGGGGGTAAATAAGTTGTTGGCATACTTTTTGCTCTTGAAGTTCTCCTTTTCTTCACTTCGGCATTCGTGACCTACGAACCATTTTCTTTTCAAACTTTCAGCTATGCCCAACACATGCCGATTCCCAGAACAACTTGGCTAACATCAAGCGGGAACAGGGAAAAATCGAAGAAGCCACGCGACTCTACCTTAAAGCGCTCGAGGTATCTTTGTCTTTTTTGTTTGCGCATTTGTGATGTCCTATACTCTGCCATATTTTTATCATCATGAAAGTTCTGAACTCCATTTTCTATGGTTTTTTTTTCAGATATATCCCGAATTTGCGGCTGCGCATAGCAATTTGGCGTCAATTCTCCAACAACAAGGAAAGCTCCAGGAAGCCATACTGCATTACAAGGTTGGTTACTCTCCTGTTTTTTCCCTACCTTTCTCTTCTTTTAGTGAGGTGTTAGACATTAGAGAAAAGATAGATAGAGCTGATGACATATGCTTCTTTCGTATGATTAAGCACTCTGCGCAGAGCTGTTAGCGAGTCATCGCCTACCGTCTTTGCACGCCTCTGAGGAGTGATTTAACACTAACTCCAGCTTTCTGGAGTGGAACTTCCACCCAAAACCGAAAATTAGACATTTGCTAAATTTCCCGTTTTTACCCCTATTTCATTGGATTTGTAACGGCATAGATGTATAGTGTATGTATTATAACAGTATACAGTGTGAAGGTATAGGTGAAGGTATGATTATGCTGTGGGGAAAAGTCCTATTTTAGGAAGCGATCCGGATTGCTCCGACGTTTGCCGATGCCTACTCGAACATGGGTAATACTCTGAAAGAGATGGGTGATGCAGCGAATGCTATGCAGTGCTACACGCGCGCCATACAAATCAATCCTGCTTTCGCTGATGCTCATTCAAACCTTGCTAGTATACATAAAGTAAGACTTTCACATTTGAACTGGCTACTAAACTTGATACATATCGTCAT